GATTAGAACCGCTGAACTGCAGATAACAGCTGAAGTGGCCTGCAGTACTGCACCCTAACCACTGTGCCACCTCGGCTCTTCCCAGCTAAATCTTCCCAGCTAAGCAACTTTGGGCGACCGGATTCCGGATTCCGGCTGGCAAACTTTTTAATTCTGGAAACTGGAAATCTACAGGAGGATTGAAATGGCTCGATCCACATCTCCACACGAGCTATACATGAGGCTGGACTAGAAGACCTCCAAGGTCCCTTCCAGCTCATTCTATCCCTATTCGTATATTTCTTATTCTATTGTATTCTATTCCTATTCTATTCCTTTTCCATTCCCATCCCATCCTTTCTCCTGGTTTTTTATGTGGGGTGAGACTTAGATGGTTCTGATCATTCAGAGTTAGAACGTCTCCACCCATCTTTTAGGGGGTGATGAACAAATGGGCGTGAGATATGGTGTCTGGGATGGTATAAGGTCTCCTGCCTTGAGTAGGGGAAATGAATTGGAAGACATCTGAGGTCCCTTCCAGTCTTTATGATTATGTGTTCTATGCCTATTTTGGTGCTGAAGCAAAAATGAGCAGCCTTTGTTCAGTTCCATCAGGTGGCTCAGACTCTGTCCCGAATTAAGGGACTACACAGGGTAGTAAAAAGGGATTTTTTTTTCTAAGGGAGATGTTGTGTTCTAGTAGACTCGGCTGGCAGGCGGCATTCCAGGAAGGAGCCCCTAATTGGTTCAGGCGCGCCTGCCGGCCGGCGGGATAAATACAGCTCTCCCATTGGTTCTCGGCCTGACAGCTCCAAGTATAAATAGCTGTCAGGCAGGGGTTTGTCTGGTTCTGTCAGTTCTAGTGTTGTTAACGTTAATAAATGTTTAAGTTGAATTCCTGCCTCCTCGGTTATTAACGCCACAAACATAAAACTGGTGACGAGGACTGGTGAAATGGATCCATATCAAGTGCTGTCAATGGCTACTGCTACGATTTTTGCTCCTTTTTGCCCTGAGGCAGAATCCTGGGACGCGTTCCTTGAACGCTTTGAATGCTTTCTTCTGGCTCATGATCTCACTGGCCTCTCCCTTGATAGAAAGCGAGGCATCTTTTTGAATTACTGTGGCCCTGAGATGTTTGCCACTGCTAGGGATCGTTTTACTTCTGTAGAATCTATTTATTCTTTTCCTTTTCTTTATTTAATTTTTTAAAAAATGGTTTAAACATTCAATGGAAAAGCATCTTAAGGTACTTTGCAAGTAACTCTAAATTATAACTAAGCATAAAAAAATGTGCAAGTGGATTTATTTTTACAATGTAATGAACTGAATGTTGCTGTAACAGTTTTATGTTTTACATGTAAAGTAAAACTTTTCTGACAGTTTAAGACATTTCATTAATTTTATTAGGAATATGAATTAGATTTAATTTTAATAAGAATTTTGTAACATTTTGTTAATTATATTACATTAAATAGATACAAGTGCATCATTTTATGGATTACCACTTTGCAATAATTTTGTTATGTGTTTTTCAATAAAATGACCAAAGTTTTATTTTTTTAAAAAGTGAAAAGACTTCATGCCTCTTATCTCTGGAATGTAACTAGAGATTTAAAAATGTATGTTGTAGGATGAGGACCGTGTTATTTCATGGTGGCAAAAAGTTTTATCTCATGGTTTTCTCTGTATAGAGAATTGAACGAAATAGGAATAAAAGCTTATTACATCTTACAGCGGTGAATCATATGATCTGCTGTGTGGTTTACTGGTGGAATAATCTGATTCCCAGTAATCACTTGAAGAGGGTTTAAAAAGAGGAGTATTGTTAGACTTTCAACTGACAAGTTGGCTAGAGATAAGATTTAAGATATATGGATGATTTAGTTATTATACCTAGTTTGGTTTTTCTCCTTATTAAAATATAAATCCTTTATATATGAATCTTGGAGCGAACTCCATGGAACGTGTATAAGATTTCTCTGAAGCAGAATAAAATATACTACTTGGTTTTCAAATGTAAAAAGTTCTTCAAATGAAATATTTATTATGATCATGAACCAAGCACGTAAAAAGTTCTTAAATGTGTTTGCATGCTATCTACTAATAATAATTAAATCCTTGTTAAAGTGAAAACACTATTATCTTCAAAAAATAATTTTAAAAATCTGCTAATAACAAAAAAGAAAACACTATTATCTTCATTCACAGTGTAAAATAAGGTGGTCACACAGTTCCCCTTATTATCTGATTACTGTGTCCTTTTCTGATGCAAACTTTCCACATCAGAAGAAAAGTTGAGAAACTTTTGGATGGGATGAATGGGGGAGTACATATAATTACATTTAATATCAGAGAATATATTCTGCTACAGTCTCAAAAAGCTCAGGATCAACATAATTTTACATTGACTTATAATAATGGAAAGCAAAATTATCACTTGTTTCAATGCAAAGCAATTTGTTGGGTGAAAATAATAAAACTCATGTGTATATGGAAAATAACCACTAGAGGGAGGCATTGTTCTTCCTAATAGACTTCACCCCTACCCACCATCTCTTGTTTTTCTGTTTTTCTATTCCATTTTTCTAATTTTAATTGTTGTCTGGTACTTTTAAAAACCTTTTTATTATATTGTAAGCCACCCAGAATTACTCTATCAGTGAAATGCGAGGCATAGAAATTTCATAAATAAATTAATTAAGGGAATGACAATGACAATATTTTATAAATACCGTACTCATTAAAAACAAAAATGCTGGGAAAGAATATAATTTTGGGTAAGTTAAAAGGGAAAAAAGAAGACATCAACCAATAGAAAGATAGATGGACTCAATTACAACAGGCATGGTTCCCCTTGGCAGACTGAAGGACCTGATGGGGATACATTGTCCTGGAGAAAATCTATGTGATCAAAAGAGTTGACAATAACTTGATACACAATTGATGAATCAACTTGCGAGTTTCTTATAATTTCAGGTTATCTGACCATGTTGAAACCAAGTGTCTAACAATAAGCTCTAAGGCTATATTTGCAGGTATGAATAGTGCAAACATTGTTTTTAATACATAGGCAACTTTTCCCCATGACCTTTAAAATGGTTTACATGTTTTCATTATATACTTAGATCTTATGAAGGCTTGTTTTCTTATGTTTTGATATGTTACAATCATATTTGGGAATTGTTTTCATCTACTACGAACAAAGACTATGTACTCAAGGGTAGCTTTATGGCTTTGGAAATAAGGAGCCAGAGCAAGATAAAGTGAAACTCTAGCCATCTGTATGCATGAATAAAGAGGCCTGTAAATCCTAGTAATAAAATAAAATAGCTAATGTCAACTGCCAGGGAAATCAGGAGATTTAGGCAGTTCAAATGAGCATAAAGATTTATTGCAAGCTTAAGCTCTCTACAAAAATGTGAGCTACTAATGGTCAAGGTAAATGAGCGAGAATTAAAAAGGCATTCAAGATGGGTTGGATAAGGTGACCAGACGTCCCGCTTTTGGCGGGA